CTCTTAGAATTAACTTGTACACAATTTTTGTGGTCCCTTCTCAGGCGAAAACTCGGTAGAAGGACCTCCAGAGAACCAATAAAAAATATACTTTTAGTTTGTTCAAAGGTTTTTTCTTCATAACTACATAAATATAATTTTGCTTTCTATCCCTCATAGAAATAACTTGTACACAATTTTTGTCTCCCTTTCTCAGGCGAAAACTCGGTAGAAGGACCTCCAGAGAACCAGTGAAAAATATACTTTTAGTTTGTTCAAAGGTTTTTTCTTCATAACTACATAAATATAATTTTGCTTTCTTTCCCTCTTAGAATTAACTTGTACACAATTTTTGTGGTCCCTTCTCAGGCGAAAACTCGGTAGAAGGACCTCCAGAGAACCAGTAAAAAATATACTTTTAGTTTGTTCAAAGGTTTTTTCTTCATAACTACATAAATATAATTTTGCTTTCTATCCCTCATAGAATTAACTTGTACACAATTTTTGTCTCCCTTTCTCAGGCGAAAACTCGGTAGAAAGACTTCCAGAGAACCAGTGAAAAATGTACTTTTAGTTTGTTCAAAAATTTTTTCTTGATTACTGCATAAAAATAATTCTACTTTCTTTCCCTCTTAGAATTAACTTGTACACAATTTTTGTCTCCCTTTCTCAGGCGAAAACTCGGTAGAAGGACCTCCAGAGAACCAGTGAAAAATATACTTTTAGTTTGTTCAAAGGTTTTTTCTTCATAACTACATAAATATAATTTTGCTTTCTTTCCCTCTTAGAATTAACTTGTACACAATTTTTGTGGTCCCTTCTCAGGCGAAAACTCGGTAGAAGGACCTCCAGAGAACCAGTGAAAAATATACTTTTAGTTTGTTCAAAGGTTTTTTCTTCATAACTACATAAATATAATTTTGCTTTCTATCCCTCATAGAAATAACTTGTACACAATTTTTGTCTCCCTTTCTCAGGCGAAAACTCGGTAGAAAGACCTCCAGAGAACCAGTGAAACATATACCTTTAGTTTGTTCAAAAATTTTTTCTTGATTACTGCATAAAAATAATTCTACTTTCTTTCCCTCTTAGAATTAACTTGTACACAATTTTTGTCTCCCTTTTTCAGGCGAAAACTCGGTAGAAGGACCTCCAGAGAACCAGTGAAAAATATACTTTTAGTTTGTTCAAAGTTTTTTTCTTCATAACTACATAAATATAATTTTGCTTTCTTTCCCTCTTAGAATTAACTTGTACACAATTTTTGTGGTCCCTTCTCAGGCGAAAACTCGGTAGAAGGACCTCCAGAGAACCAGTGAAAAATATACTTTTAGTTTGTTCAAAGGTTTTTCTTCATAACTACATAAATATAATTTTGCTTTCTATCCCTCATAGAATTAACTTGTACACAATTTTTGTCTCCCTTTCTCAGGCGAAAACTCGGTAGAAGGACCTCCAGAGAACCAGTGAAAAATGTACTTTTAGTTTGTTCAAAGGTTTTTTCTTCATAACTACATAAATAAATTTTTGCTTTTTTTCCCTCTTAGAATTAACTTGTACACAATTTTTGTCTCCCTTTCTCAGTTGAAAACCCGGTAGAAAGACCTCCAGAGAACCAGTGAAAAATATACTTTTAGTTTGTTCAAAGGTTTTTTCTTGATAACTACATAAATATAATTCTACTTTCTTTCCCTCTCAGAATTAACTTGTACACAATTTTTGTCTCCCTTTCTCAGGCGAAAACTCGGTAGAAGGACCTCCAGAGAACCAGTGAAATATATACTTTTAGTTTGTTCAAAGGTTTTTTCTTCATAACTACATAAATATAATTTTGCTTTCTTTCCCTCTTAGAATTAACTTGTACACAATTTTTGTGGTCCCTTCTCAGGCGAAAACTCGGTAGAAGGACCTCCAGAGAACCAATAAAAAATATACTTTTAGTTTGTTCAAAGGTTTTTTCTTCATAACTACATAAATATAATTTTGCTTTCTATCCCTCATAGAAATAACTTGTACACAATTTTTGTCTCCCTTTCTCAGGCGAAAACTCGGTAGAAAGACTTCCAGAGAACCAGTGAAAAATGTACTTTTAGTTTGTTCAAAAATTTTTTCTTGATTACTGCATAAAAATAATTCTACTTTCTTTCCCTCTCAGAATTAACTTGTACACAATTTTTGTCTCCCTTTCTCAGGCGAAAACTCGGTAGAAGGACCTCCAGAGAACCAGTGAAAAATATACTTTTAGTTTGTTCAAAGGTTTTTTCTTCATAACTACATAAATATAATTTTGCTTTCTTTCCCTCTTAGAATTAACTTGTACACAATTTTTGTGGTCCCTTCTCAGGCGAAAACTCGGTAGAAGGACCTCCAGAGAACCAGTGAAAAATATACTTTTAGTTTGTTCAAAGGTTTTTTCTTCATAACTACATAAATATAATTTTGCTTTCTATCCCTCATAGAAATAACTTGTACACAATTTTTGTCTCCCTTTCTCAGGCGAAAACTCGGTAGAAAGACCTCCAGAGAACCAGTGAAACATATACCTTTAGTTTGTTCAAAGGTTTTTTCTTGATTACTGCATAAAAATAATTCTACTTTCTATCCCTCTTAGAATTAACTTGTACACAATTTTTGTCTCCCTTTCTCAGGCGAAAACTCGGTAGAAAGACCTTCAGAGAACCAGTGAAAAATAAACTTTTAGATTGTTCAAAGGTTTTTTCTTGATTACTGCATAAAAATAATTCTACTTTCTTTCCCTCTTAGAATTAACTTGTACACAATTTTTGTCTCCCTTTCTTAGGCGAAATATCAGTAGAAAGACCTCCAGAGAACCAGTGAAAAATATACTTTTCGTTTGTTCAAAGGTTTTTTCTTCATAACTACATAAATATAATTTTGCTTTTTTCCCTCTTAGAATTATCTTGTACACAATTTTTGTCTCCCTTTCTCAGTTGAAAACCCGGTAGAAAGACCTCCAGAGAACCAGTGAAAAATAAACTTTTAGATTGTTCAAAGGTTTTTTCTTGATTACTGCATAAAAATAATTCTACTTTCTATCCCTCTTAGAATTAACTTGTACACAATTTTTGTCTCCCTTTCTCAGGCGAAAACTCGGTAGAAAGACCTTTAGAGAACCAGTGAAAAATGTACTTTTAGTTTGTTCAAAGGTTTTTTCTTCATAACTACATAAATATAATTTTGCTTTTTTTCCCTCTTAGAATTAACTTGTACACAATTTTTGTCTCCCTTTCTCAGTTGAAAACCCGGTAGAAAGACCTCCAGAGAACCAGTGAAAAATAAACTTTTAGATTGTTCAAAGGTTTTTTCTTGATTACTGCATAAAAATAATTCTACTTTCTATCCCTCTTAGAATTAACTTGTACACAATTTTTGTCTCCCTTTCTCAGGCGAAATCTCGGTAGAAAGACCTCCAGAGAACCATTGAAAAATATACTTTTAGTTTGTTCAAAGGTTTTTTCTTAATTACTGCATAAAAATAATTCTACTTTCTTTCCCTCTTAGAATTAACTTGTACACAATTTTTGTCTCCCGTTCTCAGGCGAAGACTCGGTAGAAAGACCTCCAGAGAACCAGTGAAAAATACACTTTTAGTTTGTTCAAAGGTTTTTTCTTGATAACTACATAATTATAATTTTTCTTTCTTTCCCTCTTAGAATTAACTTGTACACAATTTTTGTGGTCCCTTCTTAGGCGAAAACTCGGTAGAAATACCTCCAGAGAACCAGTGAAAAATGTACTTTTAGTTTATTCAAAGGTCTTTTCCACATTACTACATAAATATAATTTTGCTTTTTTTCCCTCTTAGAATTAACTTGTACACAATTTTTGTCTCCCTTTCTCAGGCGAAAACTCGGTAGAAAGACCTCCAGAGAACCAGTGAAAAATAAACTTTTAGTTTGTTCAAAGGTTTTTTCTTGATTACTGCATAAATATAATTCTCCTTTCTTTCCCTCTTAGAATTAACTTGTACACAATTTTTGTGGTCCCTTCTCAGGCGAAAACTCGGTAGAAGGACCTCCAGAGAACCAGTGAAAAAAATACTTTTAGTTTGTGCAAAGGTTTTTTCTTCATAACTACATAAATATAATTTTGCTTTTTTTCCCTCTTAGAATTAACTTGTACACAATTTTTGTCTCCCTTTCTCAGGCGAAAACTCGGTAGAAAGACCTTCAGAGAACCAGTGAAAAATGTACTTTTAGTTTGTTCAAAGGTTTTTTCTTGATTACTGCATAAAAATAATTCTCCTTTCTTTCCCTCTTAGAATTAACTTGTACACAATATTTGTCTCCCTTTCTCAGGCGAAATCTCGGTAGAAAGACCTCCAGAGAACCAGTGAAAAATATACTTTTAGTTTGTTCAAAGGTTTTTTCTTAATTACTGCATAAAAATAATTCTACTTTCTTTCCCTCTTAGAATTAACTTGTACACAATTTTTGTCTCCCGTTCTCAGGCGAAGACTCGGTAGAAAGACCCCCAGAGAACCAGTGAAAAATACACTTTTAGTTTGTTCAAAGGTTTTTTCTTGATAACTACATAATTATAATTTTTCTTTCTTTCCCTCTTACAATTAACTTGTACACAATTTTTGTGGTCCCTTCTCAGGCGAAAACTCGGTAGAATTACCTCCAGAGAACCAGTGAAAAATGTACTTTTAGTTTATTCAAAGGTCTTTTCCACATTACTACATAAATATAATTTTGCTTTTTTTCCCTCTTAGAATTAACTTGTACACAATTTTTGTCTCCCTTTCTCAGGCGAAAACTCGGTAGAAAGACCTCCAGAGAACCAGTAAAAAATATACTTTTACTTTATTCAAATTTTTTTTTTTTGAAGAACTGCAAAAAAATTCTTACTTTCTAGCTAAAGTACAATAAACTTGGTTTCATAAAGCTTTTACTTGATTGAATTTGCGCGACTTCTCTAACACATCTATGAATATTCTATTCTAGCTTTAAATTTATCTTTTGGTTTGGTTGGTATTAATTCTTAAATTTTTTCAGGTATTTGATGAAGAATAATTAAAAATGTGAATTGAAGTTATTTTTACCATAATGCAGCAGAAATAATAAAAAATTGCTAAAAAGGTGTCTAATACTGAATATTATCAACAAGTAACTTAAGTATCGAGAGTTTACATGTTGTACATTCTGTCAACACCAGCATAAAAAATATAACGAGGCAGATATATTTAACAGTGCTAATTGGAAGGTGTTATAATAACTGAAATAAATTTTTATTTCGTCAATTAAACTTGAATGGCAAAGGAAGAAAAATTTTGTTTAAGGTAAATGTCATGATATAAAAAATATACATTTAGATTGAACAAATATTTTTCCTTGATAACTGCAAAAAAATAGTCCTGCTTTCATTTTTGCATAGAATTAAATGATACACAATTTTTGTGTTCCTTTTTAAGTTAAAAACTCGGTAGAAAGACCTCCAGAGAACCAGTGAAAAATACACTTTTAGTTTGTTCAAGGTTTTTTCTTGATTACTACATAAATATAATTTTGCTTTCTATCCCTCATAGAATTAACTTGTACACAATTTTTGTCTCCCTTTCTCAGGCGAAAACTCGGTAGAAAGACCTCCAGAGTACCAGTGAAAAATATACTTTTAGTTTGTTCAAAGGTTTTTTCTTGATTACTGCATAAGAATAATTCCACTTTCTTTCCCTCTTAGAATTAACTTGTACACAATATTTTCTTCCTTTCTCAGGCGAAAACCCGGTAGAAAGACCTCTAGAGAACCAGTGAAAAATATACTTTTAGTTTGTTCAAAGGTTTTTTCTTCATAACTACATAAATATAATTTTGCTTTTTTCCCTCTTAGAATTAACTTGTACACAATTTTTGTCTCCCTTTCTCAGTTGAAAACCCGGTAGAAAGACCTCCAGAGAACCAGTGAAAAATAAACTTTTAGATTGTTCAAAGGTTTTTTCTTGATTACTGCATAAAAATAATTCTACTTTCTATCCCTCTTAGAATTAACTGGTACACAATTTTTGTCTCCCTTTCTCAGGCGAAAACTCGGTAGAAAGACCTTCAAAGAACCAGTGAAAAATGTACTTTTAGTTTGTTCAAAGGTTTTTTCTTCATAACTACATAAATATAATTTTGCTTTTTTCCCTCTTAGAATTAACTTGTACACAATTTTTGTCTCCCTTTCTCAGTTGAAAACCCGGTAGAAAGACCTCCAGAGAACCAGTGAAAAATAAACTTTTAGTTTGTTCAAAGGTTTTTTCTTGATTACTGCATAAAAATAATTCTCCTTTCTTTCCCTCTTAGAATTAACTTGTACACAATTTTTGTGGTCCCTTCTCAGGCAAAAACTCGGTAGAAGGACCTCCAGAGAACCAGTGAAAAAAATACTTTTAGTTTGTGCAAAGGTTTTTTCTTCATAACTACATAAATATAATTTTGCTTTTTTTCCCTCTTAGAATTAACTTGTACACAATTTTTGTCTCCCTTTCTCAGGCGAAAACTCGGTAGAAAGACCTTCAGAGAACCAGTGAAAAATGTACTTTTAGTTTGTTCAAAGGTTTTTTCTTGATTACTGCATAAAAATAATTCTCCTTTCTTTCCCTCTTAGAATTAACTTGTACACAATATTTGTCTACCTTTCTCAGGCGAAATCTCGGTAGAAAGACCTCCAGAGAACCAGTGAAAAATATACTTTTAGTTTGTTCAAAGGTTTTTTCTTAATTACTGCATAAAAATAATTCTACTTTCTTTCCCTCTTAGAATTAACTTGTACACAATTTTTGTCTCCCGTTCTCAGGCGAAGACTCGGTAGAAAGACCTCCAGAGAACCAGTGAAAAATACACTTTTAGTTTGTTCAAAGGTTTTTTCTTGATAACTACATAATTATAATTTTTCTTTCTTTCCCTCTTAGAATTAACTTGTACACAATTTTTGTGGTCCTTTCTCAGGCGAAAACTCGGTAGAAATACCTCCAGAGAACCAGTGAAAAATGTACTTTTAGTTTATTCAAAGGTCTTTTCCACATTACTACATAAATATAATTTTGCTTTTTTTCCCTCTTAGAATTAACTTGTACACAATTTTTGTCTCCCTTTCTCAGGCGAAAACTCGGTAGAAAGACCTCCAGAGAACCAGTAAAAAATATACTTTTACTTTATTCAAATTTTTTTTTTTTGAAGAACTGCAAAAAAATTCTTACTTTCTAGCTAAAGTACAATAAACTTGGTTTCATAAAGCTTTTACTTGATTGAATTTGCGCGACTTCTCTAACACATCTATGAATATTCTATTCTAGCTTTAAATTTATCTTTTTGTTTGGTTGGTAATAATTCTTAAATTTTTTCAGGTATTTGATGAAGAATAATTAAAAATGTGAATTGAAGTTATTTTTACCATAATGCAGCAGAAATAATAAAAAATTGCTAAAAAGGTGTCTAATACTGAATATTATAAACAAGTAACTTAAGTATCGAGAGTTTACATGTTGTACATTCTGTCAACACCAGCATAAAAAATATAAAGAGGCAGATATATTTAACAGTGCTAATTGGAAGGTGTTATAATAACTGAAATAAATTTTTATTTCGTCAATTAAACTTGAATGGCAAAGGATGAAAAATTTTGTTTAAGGTAAATGTCATGATATAAAAAATATACATTTAGATTGAACAAATATTTTTCCTTGATAACTGCAAAAAAATAGTCCTGCTTTCATTTTTGCAAAGAATTAAATGATACACAATTTTTGTGTTCCTTTTTAAGTTAAAAACTCGGTAGAAAGACCTCCAGAGAACCAGTGAAAAATATACTTTTAGTTTGTTCAAAGGTTTTTTCTTCATAACTATATAAATATAATTTTGCTTTCTATCCCTCTTAGAATTAACTTGTACACAATATTTTCTCCCTTTCTCAGGCGAAAACCCGGTAGAAACACCTCTAGAGAACCAGTGAAAAATATACTTTTAGTTTGTTCAAAGGTTTTTTCTTGATTACTGCATAAAAATAATTCTACTTTCTTTCCCTCTTAGAATTAACTTGTACACAATTTTTGTCTCCCTTTTTCAGGCGAAAACTCGGTAGAAGGACCTCCAGAGAACCAGTGAAAAATATACTTTTAGTTTGTTCAAAGGTTTTTTCTTCATAACTACATAAATATAATTTTGCTTTCTTTCCCTCTTAGAATTAACTTGTACACAATTTTTGTGGTCCCTTCTCAGGCGAAAACTCGGTAGAAGGACCTCCAGAGAACCAGTGAAAAATATACTTTTAGTTTGTTCAAAGGTTTTTTCTTCATAACTACATAAATATAATTTTGCTTTCTATCCCTCATAGAATTAACTTGTACACAATTTTTGTCTCCCTTTCTCAGGCGAAAACTCAGTAGAAGGACCTCCAGAGAACCAGTGAAAAATGTACTTTTAGTTTGTTCAAAGGTTTTTTCTTCATAACTACATAAATAAATTTTTGCTTTTTTTCCCTCTTAGAATTAACTTGTACACAATTTTTGTCTCCCTTTCTCAGTTGAAAACCCGGTAGAAAGACCTCCAGAGAACCAGTGAAAAATATACTTTTAGTTTGTTCAAAGGTTTTTTCTTGATAACTACATAAATATAATTCTACTTTCTTTCCCTCTCAGAATTAACTTGTACACAATTTTTGTCTCCCTTTCTCAGGCGAAAACTCGGTAGAAGGACCTCCAGAGAACCAGTGAAATATATACTTTTAGTTTGTTCAAAGGTTTTTTCTTCATAACTACATAAATATAATTTTGCTTTCTTTCCCTCTTAGAATTAACTTGTACACAATTTTTGTGGTCCCTTCTCAGGCGAAAACTCGGTAGAAGGACCTCCAGAGAACCAATAAAAAATATACTTTTAGTTTGTTCAAAGGTTTTTTCTTCATAACTACATAAATATAATTTTGCTTTCTATCCCTCATAGAAATAACTTGTACACAATTTTTGTCTCCCTTTCTCAGGCGAAAACTCGGTAGAAAGACTTCCAGAGAACCAGTGAAAAATGTACTTTTAGTTTGTTCAAAAATTTTTTCTTGATTACTGCATAAAAATAATTCTACTTTCTTTCCCTCTCAGAATTAACTTGTACACAATTTTTGTCTCCCTTTCTCAGGCGAAAACTCGGTAGAAGGACCTCCAGAGAACCAGTGAAAAATATACTTTTAGTTTGTTCAAAGGTTTTTTCTTCATAACTACATAAATATAATTTTGCTTTCTTTCCCTCTTAGAATTAACTTGTACACAATTTTTGTGGTCCCTTCTCAGGCGAAAACTCGGTAGAAGGACCTCCAGAGAACCAGTGAAAAATATACTTTTAGTTTGTTCAAAGGTTTTTTCTTCATAACTACATAAATATAATTTTGCTTTCTATCCCTCATAGAAATAACTTGTACACAATTTTTGTCTCCCTTTCTCAGGCGAAAACTCGGTAGAAATACCTCCAAAGAACCATTGAAAAATGTACTTTTAGTTTGTTCAAAGGTTTTTTCTTGATTACTACATAAATATAATTTTCTTTTCTTTCCCAATTAGAATTAACTTGAACACAATTTTTGACTCCCTTTCTCAGGCGAAAACCCGGTAGAAAGACCTCCAGAGAACCAGTGAAAAATATACTTTTAGTTTGTTCAAAGGTTTTTTCTTCATAACTACATAAATATAATTTTGCTTTTTTCCCTCTTAGAATTAACTTGTACACAATTTTTGTCTCCCTTTCTCAGTTGAAAACCCGGTAGAAAGACCTCCAGAGAACCAGTGAAAAATAAACTTTTAGATTGTTCAAAGGTTTTTTCTTGATTACTGCATAAAAATAATTCTACTTTCTATCCCTCTTAGAATTAACAGGTACACAATTTTTGTCTCCCTTTCTCAGGCTAAAACTCGGTAGAAAGACCTTCAGAGAACCAGTGAAAAATGTACTTTTAGTTTGTTCAAAGGTTTTTTCTTCATAACTACATAAATATAATTTTTCTTTTTTCCCTCTTAGAATTAACTTGTACACAATTTTTGTCTCCCTTTCTCAGTTGAAAACCCGGTAGAAAGACCTCCAGAGTACCAGTGAAAAGTATACTTTTAGTTTGTTCAAAGGTTTTTTCGTCATAACTGCATAAATATAATTTTGCTTTTTTTCTCTCTTAGAATTAACTTGTACACAATTTTTGTCTCCCTTTCTGAGGCGAAAACTCGGTAGAAAGACCTCCAGAGAACCAGTGAAAAATACACTTTTAGTTTGTTCAAAGGTTTTTTCTTGATTACTACATAAATATAATTTTGCTTTCTTTCCCTCTTAAAATTAACTTGTACACAATTTTTGTGGTCCCTTCTCAGGCGAATACTCGGTAGAAGAACCTCCAGAGAACCAGTGAAAAATGTACTTTTAGTTTGTTCAAAGGTTTTTTCTTCATAACTACATAAATATAATTTTGCTTTCTATCCCTCTTAGAATTAACTTGTACACAATTTTTGTCTCCCTTTCTCAGGCGAAAACTCGGTAGAAATACCTCCAAAGAACCATTGAAAAATGTACTTTTAGTTTGTTCAAAGGTTTTTTCTTGATTACTACATAAATATAATTTTCTTTTCTTTCCCAATTAGAATTAACTTGAACACAATTTTTGACTCCCTTTCTCAGGCGAAAACTCGGTAGAAAGACCTCCAGAGAACCAGTGAAAAATATACTTTTAGTTTGTTCAAAGGTCTTTTCCTCATAACTACATAAATATAATTTTGCTTTTTTTCCCTCTTAGAATTAACTTGTACACAATTTTTGTCTCCCTTTCTCAGGCGAAAACTCGGTAGAAATACCTCCAAAGAACCATTGAAAAATGTACTTTTAGTTTGTTCAAAGGTTTTTTCTTGATTACTACATAAATATAATTTTCTTTTCTTTCCCAATTAGAATTAACTTGAACACAATTTTTGACTCCCTTTCTCAGGCGAAAACCCGGTAGAAAGACCTCCAGAGAACCAGTGAAAAATATACTTTTAGTTTGTTCAAAGGTTTTTTCTTCATAACTACATAAATATAATTTTGCTTTTTTCCCTCTTAGAATTAACTTGTACACAATTTTTGTCTCCCTTTCTCAGTTGAAAACCCGGTAGAAAGACCTCCAGAGAACCAGTGAAAAATAAACTTTTAGATTGTTCAAAGGTTTTTTCTTGATTACTGCATAAAAATAATTCTACTTTCTATCCCTCTTAGAATTAACAGGTACACAATTTTTGTCTCCCTTTCTCAGGCTAAAACCCGGTAGAAAGACCTCCAGAGAACCAGTGAAAAATACACTATTAGTTTGTTCAAAGGTTTTTTCTTGATTACTACATAAATATAATTTTGCTTTCTTTCCCTCTTAAAATTAACTTGTACACAATTTTTGTGGTCCCTTCTCAGGCGAATACTCGGTAGAAGAACCTCCAGAGAACCAGTGAAAAATGTACTTTTAGTTTGTTCAAAGGTTTTTTCTTCATAACTACATAAATATAATTTTGCTTTCTATCCCTCTTAGAATTAACTTGTACACAATTTTTGTCTCCCTTTCTCAGGCGAAAACTCGGTAGAAATACCTCCAAAGAACCATTGAAAAATGTACTTTTAGTTTGTTCAAAGGTTTTTTCTTGATTACTACATAAATATAATTTTCTTTTCTTTCCCAATTAGAATTAACTTGAACACAATTTTTGACTCTCTTTCTCAGGCGAAAACTCGGTAGAAAGACCTCCAGAGAACCAGTGAAAAATATACTTTTAGTTTGTTCAAAGGTCTTTTCCTCATAACTACATAAATATAATTTTGCTTTTTTTCCCTCTTAGAATTAACTTGTACACAATTTTTGTCTCCCTTTCTCAGGCGAAAACTCGGTAGAAATACCTCCAAAGAACCATTGAAAAATGTACTTTTAGTTTGTTCAAAGGTTTTTTCTTGATTACTACATAAATATAATTTTCTTTTCTTTCCCAATTAGAATTAACTTGTAGACAATATTTGTCTCCCTTTCTCAGGCGAAATCTCGGTAGAAAGACCTCCAGAGAACCAGTGAAAAGTATACTTTTAGTTTGTTCAAAGGTTTTTTCGTCATAACTACATAAATATAATTTTGCTTTTTTTCTCTCTTAGAATTAACTTGTACACAATTTTTGTCTCCCTTTCTGAGGCGAAAACTCGGTAGAAAGACCTCCAGAGAACCAGTGAAAAATACACTTTTAGTTTGTTCAAAGGTTTTTTCTTGATTACTACATAAATATAATTTTGCTTTCTTTCCCTCTTAAAATTAACTTGTACACAATTTTTGTGGTCCCTTCTCAGGCGAATACTCGGTAGAAGAACCTCCAGAGAACCAGTGAAAAATGTACTTTTAGTTTGTTCAAAGGTTTTTTCTTCATAACTACATAAATATAATTTTGCTTTCTATCCCTCTTAGAATTAACTTGTACACAATTTTTGTCTCCCTTTCTCAGGCGAAAACTCGGTAGAAATACCTCCAAAGAACCATTGAAAAATGTACTTTTAGTTTGTTCAAAGGTTTTTTCTTGATTACTACATAAATATAATTTTCTTTTCTTTCCCAATTAGAATTAACTTGAACACAATTTTTGACTCCCTTTCTCAGGCGAAAAC